AACTCAGGAACTGTTTGATCCACATGTTTGAGATTGGGTATAGTTGTTACTGCTATGCTCCTATATTAAACGTCCTATTTTGAAGCACGCCAGTCGATCGACGTACTTTCGAGCCACGGCAATTTTTTGGCAAAAATGGGAATTGCCATTAGTCAGATGCTGGAAAAAAAATGGAATTTTAAATTGGAATTTCCTCTCCACCCTGCCGATAAAACGTCTATATTAGAGTAAAGTTTTACAAAACATGTCGGAATGCAGCATAACCTATTTATTTCAAACGCCATCGCTACAAAGCGGGTATAGCTCCATCTACGGTCACAAATTGTGATTCATTTTGGTTTATAAATTATTATTGCGATATACAGATGGCAATCGTTTCTATAACGTGCGTCGATGGTTGCTCAATTAAAACTGACTTCTTCTTACTCACTCATTTGTGTCCTTTGGTGAGCTACAGTGTGATTGACACTTTCATCTTCTTACAATACTGGGTTTCTAGCCAACGGTGACTTTCCAGCATGTTTGCTGGCCAACGTCTCATTCTGGGGTGGCACCAAAAATTTGCCTGACAGGGGCAATGAGTAGGCCTACATGACGACAAATGGTCTCTGAAGAAAGGTGGGGCTAGACATATATTGCGAGTAGGGGGCAAAAATTTAAATTGGGATCCGAATTCCCCCCTCCCCAGATGTTTAAAGTGGCAACCTATATTAGCAATAGCAGGGAATAATTATTGTTGTATCTATTACTATTGCTATATTGCAGCACCTCATCTTGCTGATTGTTTTGCATCCATCCTGCTTCAGCCCTGCGCACACGTGAGTAATTTTACTCAAGAAAAATGATGCATGCGTCAAAATACTCAACGTGTGCGCGCTAGCTGTGTAAATTTACTCAACACTGGTACTCACAGCGCATGCGTTTAAATTATTTTAAAGATGGCAAATTTGGTAATGTGTAATATAATTTCTTACTTCGATTTGGTTCGTCGTAAATTAATTGGTCGTAAATGTGGGCGAGGAAAGCTTCGTCAGATCAGGTACACCGGGCTAATTGTTGCATATTCTTCTGGTGATAGTAGGCCCCTATATGTTGCAGGGATCGATCCCGAGAGGGTTCTGGGAGTTAGAATCTCCACATTGTGACCTCAGGCCCGATTTTCTCAGTATGTAGCAAAAATATTATACATGTTTTAGTTGAATGAGTTAATAAGGATAATGCAAGATATGACGTGTATGGTGAAAATCTATCATAATATCCGTATTCTTTCCAATAAAATCTGTGGGGGCCCTTCCTGCGTGCTTTAACTGGACGCCATACGTTCAGAATTTCTGGGCCTATGCCCTTGAAATCCGTCGGATTGCAACTGTATTCTATATTAAAACATCTGCGTGAGCCAACTCCCCTTCTCCAATCCGCTCCGCTTCCACGGGGCCCTTCCCTTCCAGAATTCCTGGATCCGTCTGTGTTGTCTGCTCACGTCGATCATCCGGTTGACCTGTAAAGGGAATTGCAAATGGCGAGAGCCATTCTCGCATCAGGCGCTTCTCTCTATAGGGGCATCGCGGCCTGATCAAGCAAGGACCGCCGGTCACATACGTTAAAGTATCATATATATTCAAATGTGTTGCTGATCTGAGGAGATTGTAACCGGTGAATTATTGGACATCACTCTAAACTGTAGGTGAAGGGAAAAGTATAGCACGTTTCGCTATGGTCGCAGAGCAAAATTGTGCTAGCAATTATTTCTACGATAACACACTTTACTGGTTCTAATACGATTGATTTATAAGGGCATTATTTCTATACGCGTGCTCATGGGCAAGGTACCTTACTCTTACTGCTTACATTTAAGATTGTTTAATTAAGTCGGATTACACTCTTAAACGGGCTATTCTGAGGTGTAAATTTGCAACACAAAATGCAGAATTAAAAAGAAATAAAATAACTACATAATATGTATTATATATATTATAATATGATACCATTGAATCAGCCGCCCCGGCGCGCGCGTGTGTGTGTATGTGCGTGTGTGTAAGAGAGAGAGAGAGGGGGGGGGGCGAGAACGAGGATGTGCTGCGTTGGGTGTGTGTGTGTGCGCGCGTGTGTGTGTGTGTGTGAGTGTGTGTTGGTGGAGAGTGTGTTGGGGACGAAGAGAGAGACGGAGGTGAGCGCGCGCGCGCGTGAGTGCGTGTGTGTGTGTGTGAATTAATATGCATGTGGGTGTGGGTGGGCGAGTGTGTGTCGGCGTGCGTGCGGGTGTGTGCGCGTGCCTGTTAAGTGTTGTTGTACGCAGTGAGTTATTTAGAACAACTATAGGTGGCACCGTAGCAATCGTTTCAAATATAATTACGTGGTGGTTTACTATTAGAGTTAGAGTCACACACCAGGGCGGTACTTTTTTTTATTAGAGGGGGCTAAGCCACGTGTGGTGTGTTGTCGAGGCTGTTGACCATAATTGGTAATTTGGTGTTGGCACTGCTACGGTCATGGGGGGGGGGCAACTGCCCATGTGTCCCCCTCCGCTAGCTGCGTATATATACATACAATTTTGTTAAAACTATACGTCTGTAGAGAACACATACTCAGGAGTAACTAGATGTGAAAAATGATGATTCGAATGACTCACTACATACCTTATAGGCCTAAGCAAATCTTCCAAAAGTGCGATTGATTATAAAAAATTGATACATATCTGTGCCATGCCTGCTATATTCCTCTGCTAGAGGAAATCAGGTCCCATTTATATGGATTATACATGAGAGTATGTTTCTATAAAAATTGAAAGCCTTTACATTCTTTATAGGCTAATCTTATAGGCCCAATATAGGCTTCTTTATAGGCCCAATCTTCTCTACACCTCGATTTCCCACAACGCCGAATAAAATTATGTACAATTTTCTTCGACATTCGACGGCGCTATAGTGTCGCGCATGAAAAGCAGTGTATAAAACTAAACAAGGTAGGTTACCTATACACGCGTATAGTTTTATACAATATTCTTAT